GTCTCTTTGCACTGTGAAGGGAGGCCCTGGGGCATCTCTGCAAAGGCTGAGCCCTGCCGCCTCACCCCCCAGAAGAAGGGCTCCATGGCTGAGGCAGGGCCACTCCCAACTGAACAGGGCAGAGTGGTACAACATCAACACAGTACTGTAAAAGTTCAAGAGTCTCCTCCCGGGGCTGAAGAGATGGCTCAGTGGTATAAGTGCCTGCCTGGCAAGCGCAGGGTCTTGAGTTTGATCCCTAGTACCACATGCCATGCCAGCCACTGAAACCGGGAGTAGTGGCACACAACCTGTAATCCCAGAGCTGGGGAGGCTGAAGCAGGAGGTTCACTAAGAGTCTGAGCTGTGTAGCAAGACCTTGTACCAAATAAATAAATAGTTAAAAAAAAAAAAAGTCTCCTTCCTTTCCCTCTCCTTCCCTCTTTCTTCAATTATACAGTACAGGGGCTGCACCCAGGATCGCATGCATGCTAACCAAGAGCTCTACAACTAAGCCACATCCCCAATACCCCCTCAGATTTCATTTTTGCTGTACTGGGGATGGACTCCAGGACCTTAGCCCTGAGCTGTATGCCCCCTAGTCCTTTTTGTTTTGAGGCAGAATTTCACTAAGTCACTAAATTGGGATCAAACTTCTGATCCCACTGCTTCAGCTTCCCAGAGTACTGGGATCATAAGCAATGTATCACCACACCCAGTTCCCGGAGACTTCTTCCTTTTTTTTTTTTTTTTTTTTTTTTGAGACAGGGTTGGTCTTGCTATGTAGTTCAGGCTGGCCTTCAACTATGAAGCCCCAGCTGGTCTTAAATTTACAGCAACAGTCCTGCTTCAGTCTCCCAAGTGCTTCAATTACAGCTGTGGGCCACCACGTCCAGCTCTCCATACCTTTTTTAAAGAACAATTTTTATGAGATAGTGTCACTAAATTGACCAGGCAGGCCTCAAACTAGTAATCCTCCTTCCTCTCCCTGTTTATCTTGGATAACAGATTATAGCAATGTACTACCATGTCCAGCTCTGGAATTTCTTTCAATTCTCTTAAACAAAAGCTGCAATATTTTATGCTCTACTTTATAGAGAAAGTATAGAAATACAATACTAACAACACCGATTTTGATAGATGCTATGATTTTTACTGATAGAAAAATTATTAGCTTGGGGGCTGGAGAGATGGCTCAATGGTCTAAAGCACCTACTTAGAACAAGTTCAGCGAAGCACAGGGCAGGGACAGCGGTTCAATCCCCCAGCACCACATGCCAGCCAGCCCGCCCCCTGGTGGGCTGAGCTGGCCGCACACATGCACACACACAAATAAATAAAAAATTAAAAAAAAAAAATGTGGGCTGGTGAGATGGCTCAGTGGTCTAAAGCACCTACTTAGAACAAGCTTAGCAAAGCACAGGGACTGCGGTTCAATCCCCCAGCACCACATGCCAGCCAGCCCGTCCCCTGGTGGGCTGAGCTGGCCGCACACATGCACACACACAAATAAATAAAAAATTAAAAAAAAAAAATGTGGGCTGGTGAGATGGCTCAGTGGTCTAAAGCACCTACTTAGAACAAGCTTAGCAAAGCACAGGGACTGCGGTTCAATCCCCCAGAACCACATGCCAGCCAGCCCCGCCCCCAGTGGGCTGAGCTGGCCACACACACACACACACACACAAATAAAATTTAAAAAATAAATAAATAAATAAAATGCACATCCTGAAGAAGTGTTGACAGAGATGATATAGCCTAAAGTATCACAATGTGTAGGGTCACACAGCTTTAATATACTCAAATCACTTATTAGGCAATCTTTTTTTGTTGTTTTTTGGCGAAACCGGGGATTGAATTCGGCCCTAGCGCTTATTCCACTGAGCCATCTCCCCGGCCCCAAGGCATCTTGATAATTGGTACAGTGTATCTTTCTTCTGTGAACCTCAAAAGTCAAAACCTGCACAATTAGGGCTTGTTATCTAGTGATGTCCTCCAAATCCTCCTGTGGTCCTACGTGGGGCTTTTCAGCGGTGGCTTGATCTAGGGTTTATGATTCTGAAATTAACAGTGCATGGTTATTAAATTAGTTTGCTGACTGGCTTAGATTAGTTCTTGGCGTGGATAATGAGAAGACCCTGCCAGGTGAGGGTGGCACAACCCCAAAGGCAGGGAGCCTAGAAAGCATAAAACAGAGAAGGCAGGCTGCTGCTTGTTGCCTTGTGCCTACCCTGCCCTGCCATGAACTGTTTCCATGAGACGCTCTTCTGCCAAGCAGCCCTGATTTGGACCCCACGGATTATGGATGGAAATTTCTACAAACTGTTAATTGATATGTCTTTCTTCCTCTAACTTTGAGTGTTAAGTATTTTCTCTCAAAAGTGAGAAAAATAACTAATACACACATTAGTTTTCTAAATGGACCTCACAGACTTCTTCCATGTTTTAAATGACTTTACAAATGCCAAATACGGAAATTAAGAAAAGGTTAACTGAAGGGCTGGGGACATAGCTCGGCAGAATAAGACCCTGAGTTCAATCCCTGGTTCCGCCAAAAAAAATAAAAAAAACAAAAGATTAATTGAAATGCAGGTTATAGGGGCCGGTGAGATAGCTCAGTGGACTTCAGCTTAGGCAAGCACTGGGACCATGGTTTAATCCCTGACACCACATGCTATGCCAGCCTCACCCCCAGGGCAGGCTGAGCTGGCAGAACACAGGTGTACCATCTGCCTATAATCCCAGTGCTAGAGAGACTAAAAGCAGGAGGATCACTATGAGTATGAGCTACATAAGCTATACATGCTTAAAATTAAATTACATATGGCCACTGGCATCATGAAACTTCAAATCTAGTTCATGATGACCTTTTAAGGGTGTCAGGTCAACTTAAAAATCGAAGACTTCC